TTTATATATATATATATATATATATATATATATATATTTTTTTATATCTTTACCGACACCTATAGGTTGTGTACTGGGAGGATCACATCGACCACATGAAAGGGCACATGACACACCCTCTCTGTACAAGACACCCATACTTTGGCAGCCCTTTGCCTCTTGGCTCGGCCAACGACCGAGACGACTAAATACTGCAGTTATAACAACGATCATGATTAACAAGGATAAACACACGATTAAGGCATAATCAGTCATTTAGCATCGTATTACCTAATTTGGAAAATGTCAGAACAGGCCCACCACGCTTAGGGCCCATTACAACCAGTATAAATAAGTCACGTAAAATGAGGTATGATACTGTTCATTAATTACTATCGATACTCGTGCTTGTCCTGACTTGAGCGTCAGAGTGCCTTTTGCAGGTACCCTCCACGCACTGGAATATTCGCTTGGAGCTCCCGTTCGGCCCTCAGAATACAAGAAGATTACTAGTGTGTCCCTCAGACAGGTACATTTTGGCGCCCACCGTGGGGCCGAACCGAAAGCTCTAAGGTACAAGCTAGAACTATGCTGAATACTAGGAAGACGAATATGGACAACAATCGATCCGAAGAAGACCATGTGGAAGTTGTTGATGAAACGAATCTGTCGGAGATCGTTCATCAACTAAATGAGGAGATAGCCGTCATGAGACAAGAAAGGGAGAAAGATGCTAGGGAACTTTCGGCCCTGAAAGCAAAAAATGAAGCACTAAAAAACAAAGACTCTTCGTCAAATCCCACTCAGCCAACCCACACAAGGGTCTTTCCAGTCCCACCAAATCCACACTTCGATCCCTCATGCTTCGGCTGTCGCACCAGAAAAGTCTCGAATACCAACGGTCGGCCGATCCACAAACCTCTTGGCACCGATTGGTTCACGCCGACACCCTTTCACTCCGTCTATCATGCAATCATCTTTATTGGATAATTGGAAGTCCCTGCCGATAGACAAGTATGATGGCACGACAGACCCTGACGAGCACATTGATGTTTTTCTTACCCAGCTTACCATCCAATTTGCCACTAGTCGGCCACACCAGTTGACTTGCCTGTCGCTAGTCAGCATTCGACAAGAAAATAAGGAGTCTCTCCGGACCTTCATGGATCGGTTCAACAAGGCAGCGCTAGAAGTTAAAGATCTTAACCCAGCGGTCGCACTTCACCATCTCACTACGGCTTTAAAACCAGGGTCTTTCGTCAACAGCATTTGCAAGAAGCCCCTTACAGACATGGATGATCTACGTAGGCAGGCTGATAAGTATATGCAAATAGAAGAGCTAGCTAATTTCCACAACCAAGCTCAAGTTGAAACTATGGGAAAGATAGAGAAGTTGATGTATGTTTGAAATGATGTATACACAAAGGTGCACTCTTTTCCTTGATTGGTTTTTTCTCCCCTTATAAACATGTGAAAAGGGGTTTTGGCCGACAAGGTTTTTAACGAGGCACCAATCAATGAAGTACAATTCACTCTCATTCATCACTTTCTTCTTTATTGTTTGCTCGAATATTAACTCAAAAGGCTTCCCTCTCGAGTACTCACTCAGCCAAGGATGTGCCTTCGGATTATTCTCAAAAGGCTTCCCAACCGAGTGACCCACTCGGCCAAGGATGTGACAAGGATGTACCTTCTATTTTCTTGAAAAGGTTTCCCTCCCGAGTCGTCACTCGACCAAGGATGTTCCTTCGACTTTCCTGAAAAGGTTTTCCTCCCGAGTCGTCACTCGGCCAAGGATGTACCTTCAGTTTTCCTGAAAAGGTTTCCCTCTTGAGTCGTCACTCGACCAAGGATGTACCTTCGGCTTTCTTGAAAAGGTTTCCCTCCCGAGTACCTGTCGCAACCCGAAAATTTCCGATCTTGCGACCTATGGTTTAGACATCCTTTTAAAGATCTCATCAATTAAGGAATGCCCAGACACCAGACTAATCCTTAATTAATGGTTTTGAAAATAGGTTCATGGAGTCGCCACCAATATTTTACTCAAAATATTGGAAAAAGAAAAGGTTTTTAAAAGTCCAATAATGGCCTTGATAACCAGAATTGGGTTCGGGGTCGGTTACGTGTAGGGAAGGTATTAAGCACCCCTACAACGCCCTTAATCGGTACCCTATGACGAAGTTAATTAACATTATAAATAATAATAATATAAATATTAAATCCCCTTTTATTGATGACTATTTACATGCTTGAAATTTAAATTAAACAATTGACTCTAAAATATCTACATGATTATTTTTATTATAACAATGTAAAATAAAAGAAGAGAAAGATAAAACAAGAGATTGATGAGTAATACCTCGTAACAAGCTTTATTGGATCTTCAACTATGGGGATTTTAGGTGCTTTGTGGAAACCTTTCACACTACAATAAGCCTCACAAAATTCAAGAAGTACAATAGGAGAGAGAGAGAGAGAAAAAAGGGAGAAATTTCGAGCTCTATGGAGCTTTGGACGAAATTTTGGAGGTCCCCAGAACTATGCCCGAGATTTCTTATTTATAGGCATCAGATGTGGGCCGGAACGGCCCGTTCTAGATTCGGAACGGCCCGTTCCGGAACCGAACGTTAAGTTATATTTTTGCACCCTGGAACAGCCCGTTCCGGGGAACCAGAACGGCCCGTTCTAAGTTCAGAACGGCCCGTTCTGGGTTACAGATTTTAGGCCATTTTTTTGGTTTGGAACGGCCCGTTCTGGTCTAGAACGGCCCGTTCCAACCAACAATTTTTAGGCCTTTGAGAAGCCTCAGAACGGCCCGTTCTGATTCGAGAACGGCCCGTTCCGGACTTGGGAACGGCCCGTTTCGGGCCACTAAAAAAGTTGATTTTGGCTTTTGAGTCCTCTGATGTCCTATTTTGTTTGCCCCCGGACGAAATTGGGTGTCTACAGTACCCACTCGGCTAAGGACGTGCCTTCGGATTTTGCTCACAAGGCTTCCCTCCCGAGTACTCACTCGGCCAAGGATGTGCCTTCGGATCATTCTCAAAAGGCTTCCCAACTGAGTGACCCACTCAGCCAAGGATGTGCCTTCGGATTATTCTCAAAAGGCTTCCCAATCCAGTGACACCCTCGGCCAAGGATGTGACAAGGATGTGCCTTCTATTTTCTTGAAAAGGTTTCCCTCCCGAGTTGTCACTCGGCCAAGGATGTATCTTCAGTTTTCCTGAAAAGGTTTCCCTCTCGAGTCTTCACTCGACCAAGGATGTACCTTCGGCTTTCCTGAAAAGGTTTCCCTCCCGAGTACCCACTCGACTAAGGACGTGCCTTCGGATTTCGCTCACAAGGGTTCCCTCCCGAGTACTCACTCGGCTAAGGACGTGCCTTCAGATTATGCTCACAAGGCTTCCCTCCCGAGTTCTCACTCGGCCAAGGATGTGCCTTGTCGCCACCGGCCCAAACGGGCCTCGGCGG